GCCACCATCCTCATTCCATCAACCCCAATGGAATTCACAGAGAAAACAGCTCCCAGAGCATCCAGGACAGACTTAGAAATGACAGCTGAGCCTCTGGTGTCCTTTGGGACTCATCCTCACATCCATCCCCCTCACTGCCATGCTCAGAGTCCAGCACTGGGGGGTGACAGGAGACCCCCAGGACTGGCCCAGATGATGCCCCACAGACTCACCACGGTGTGGGAGAAGGTTTTCCTTCTGTGGGACAGCTCAGGGAGCAGGGGACAGCGAGATCAGCCCCTAGGCCAGGTGATTGCAAGGCTGCAGGGTCAGCTGGCAATGAAATCTCCTCTGTGGGTGTTTCACCTGCAGACCGCCCAGCAGCTCTCACCCCTCCTGAGCTGCCAGAGGAATCCAACCAGTCCCACTTGCCCTGTGGATTGGTGACAATGCAGTGGAAGCTCCTGGGATGGTTCTTCAAGAGCTGATGCCTTCTGCAGCTCTGGGGGGAATTTCCTTACCTGCTGCATCTGTGAACAAATCTCACCAAACCTGAGGGATGCCCCAAGATGGAAAGGGGGCCAGAATTTGGATAATCATCACAGCCTGGCCTGGGAAGCAGCACAGCCCCAGGCCAGACCCCAAATATTCCCCATATTCTCAGTGGGGCTCACAGACCTGTCCCAGCTCATCTTCCCCTCTGATCTGCACCCCATTGAAGCAGCCCCACCAGGACACCCCCATTTTGTGGCAGGGCAGAGGTTTCTCATCCCTTTGGGATGTGCTGCTCCATGTCCTGCTCCTGCCCCTGTTCTGGGAACCCCCTGGGCCTGGTGCAGCTCAGGACAGGCCCATGGCAGCCCCTCCATCCATGGGCACAGGACTCCCCACGGCTACAGAGAGCAAAGCCCTTGGAGGCAGCTCTGGGGCTGGATGCCAAAGCAGGACGGTTCTCCCAAAATGCAAGAAACACCTTCCACTTCTAGAAATATCATGGACAGTTTCAAAGCTTGAATACTTTGGGGAGCCCTGAAATGTTTTCAGAAGGTGCCAAAGCTGAGGAGGGTTCCCCAAAAGCCAAGGGGCCCTTTAGGAACAGCTCCTGCCTCGTTCCCCTGACACATGGAAAAGGTTTTGGTAAATCAGGGGGAATCACCTCCTTTGGGATAATGGAAAGACATTATTGAAATGGAGCTGAGCCACCCACTGAAGACTTTAAGCTTTCAGTGGCTTTGCCAGTGACACATGAAACCTTCCAGGGCTGTTCCTGTGGGCTCCTGTCACCAGGAGGGGGATTTGGGCTGTTCTGTGCCAGTGGCAGCCGTGGCTCAGCAGCAATGTCAGTTTGAGTCTCACAAAGTCCAGGTTGATCTCCAGCCTAGGCAATATATGTCAAACAAACAAACAAAAAAAAGACTATTCCAAATAATCCAAAATGACTGGTACAGGCAGGGACCCTGGCAGAGGTTTTGGACATTTTTAGGGTACTTGCAGACCTTTACAACTGTGTCTGAGACACATCTCAGTATCCACTTTGGGCTGGGCCATCCCCACCCCCAGAGCTGCTGGGTGGCTCCTCTCAGGGACAGGGGGGACAGACAGATACTGGGATGTGCTGGTTGTTCCCTCTGCAGCTCCAGCAGTGGCTGGGCTCTGGCTTTGTTTCTTCCTGGTGAGTCCCTGCCCTTCCATGGGCTCCCAACCTCAACTCCAGTGCTGGGGAATGTCACAGCCAGTCCAAGGTACTCCTGCAGGAGCCTGTGCTTGGGGAATTTATGTGTAATCCCTGCAACCCCTACCACGAACCCCTCAGCACCCCAAGATCTGTGCTACAAGGACAGTTATTCCTACAGCCAAATGCAGGAGGAGGCATTGGAGTGCTGGGGACATCCTGGCCTCTGCTCTCCTGCTGCAGGGACACACAGACACAGCAGAACTCCTGGCATGTGTGGGGTCCCAAACCAAAATCCATGATTTAGGAATTGTAATTAAGGGTGCTCAACAATGAAATCATTTTAGAAGCACCTGGAGGAAGCTGGACAGGTGACCTAAAGCCAAAAAGCAGAAGGTTTCTTCTTGCTGCAAGCTGGGGTGGGGTTTTTTTGGTTGTTTTTTGACTTTTGTTTGTTTGTTTTTGGGGGCTTTCTTGTTTGTTTTTGGGCGGGGTTTTTTTGGGGGGTTGTTTTTTGGGGTTGTTTTGTTTTGGTTTTTTGTTTGTTGTTGTTGTTGTTTGTTTTTTTGGTTTGGTTTGGCTTTGTTTTTTAATCTGAAGAGGAACCACCTGCAAGCTCAGGGATGATCCCAGGAGAAGCAGGGCAGTGCCAGGCTCTCCTCAGGGCACTTGGTGATGGAGGAGGTCCCACACATGGTTCCACCTGACAAAAGCATTGGCACCCTCCCTGTCTCAGCACTGTGACCCCACTGCCCTCCCTGGCACCCAGGGTGTCCAGCCAGCCCCAGACTGATCCCAAAGCCACACCTGGGATGTCACCTGGTGGAAAAACCCTCCTCTCCCCTGCACCCACTGCACCCTTGTGGTGCTGCAGGAAGGTGCCAGTCCCTGTGGGTGCTGGCAGAGCTCCTGGCCAGGGCAGCCCCCCCCGAGCAGCCTCATCCCCGGGGCACCCCCAGAGAGGAGTGGGGAGGGCTGCTGGAGGCTGGGGCACCATGGGCTGGGACAGCAGAGCTGGATTTTCAGGCTCTGCCTTTGAACTCCGTGTGCTCAAGGGCATCTCTTTCCTCCCTGGGGCCTGGGGGGCCTGGCCAGCCCCTCCTCACCACTGCAGCCCACGTGTTGGAGGTGTTGGAGGGGCTGAGGAGCCACAAACCCACCTGAGGCCTGTTGTGCCTCAGTTTCCCCACCTCTGGGGGCATTAGAAATGCTTCCCGTGGGTCCTCTCCTGCTTTCCAGGCTGCCTGGGAGTGTGCTGGCACCGTGTGCTGGGGGATGCTCCAGCCTCTGGCCCTGGCCCTACTCCACTCCCTGGCTGGGTCTCTGGGATGTTGATTTGTTTTTCGGGGTGACTTTTCCTCTGCAGAGACATTCAGCCCTCCCAGGGGCACACCTTCCCCACCCTCACTCTGACCCCCAGCCCCTCAACCCACTGAGAGTGGATCAGGCAGGTGTGGGTGTCTGCTCGGAGGAAAATCCCAAACCTGGAGGCTTGGGGAGCTCTAAAGTCTCTGGGGGATGTGGGGTCCAGGCTGGGACCCTGGGTGTGTTTTGGTCTGGATGAAGGGCTTGGGATGGGGATGGAAAACCTTGACTTTCCCTGTACCTGGACCTGAAATACTGACAGAGGGATTTGTGTTCTCTTATTGTCCTTCCCTTCCATTGACTGCCTGAATTTCTCCCCAGCTCTCGGGAACCGTGGTCTCTCTGCTGCCTGATCATCGGTGCCCAGGGATGTGCCACAGCCAGGGCTGGTGCTCACACTTCTTGATCACCTTCTCTGCCAGTTCCTTGCTGGCAGCTGGAGAACAAAAAATATCTATTTACAGGGAGCAAGAGAGCAGAAAAGTTGTAAAAAAGGAGTCACACTGGATAAAACTGGTAACTTTGGGAACCCCTTGATCTCCCCACCATGGCACCCACCATGGCACAAGCTTGGGATGCTCACCCAGCTTTGATTGAGCCTCACTGAACCCCCTGACTGAGGGAGCTGGGGATTTAGGGGAAACCCCAGGACAATGATCCTTGCCCTGGAAATGTAGTGTGAGCACCAGCACCTTCCTGAGCACCCCATTCCCTCCTGACGTATGCAGGGACCTGCAGGGGCTTGTCCACACAGGGCACCACACCTGAAGCATTTCCTGTGGATGGTCCCACCACCCCTGCAGTCCCTCGTGTCCCTGCCATGACACTGGGATGGTGCAGTGCTCCCTTTTAGCAGGGTTTGGGTTTTGGCTCCATCTGCACTCCCAGCCTGGCCCCCTCCCCTCCACTTCCAGCCGGGGGTCTCGGTAAATGCAGCTCTGAGAGCCCGAGGCAGCTTGGCTGGGTGGAACCCCCAGTGCCTGTTCCTGCAGAGCTTGCAGGGTGAGCCTGGCCTTGCAGGATGAGCCTGGCCTTGCAGGATGAGCCTGGCCTTGCAGGGTGAGCCTGGCCTTGCAGGGTGAGCCTGGCCTTGCAGGATGAGCCTGGCCTTGCAGGGTGAGCCTGGCCTTGCAGGGTGAGCCTGACCTTGCAGGGGGAGCCTGGCCTTGCAGGATGAGCCTGGCCTTGCAGGGTGAGTCTGGCCTTGCAGGGGGAGCTGGGCCTTGCAGGATGAGCCTGGCCTTGCAGGGTGAGCCTGGCCTTGCAGGAGGAGCTGGGCCTTGCAGGATGAGCCTGGCCTTGCAGGATGAGCCTGGCCTTGCAGGGTGAGCCTGGCCTTGCAGGATAAGCCTGGCCTTGCAGGGTGAGCCTGGCCTTGCAGGGGGAGCCTGGCCTTGCCACTGTCCCCAGAGCCACCCTGGCAGGGGGACAGGACCCCAGGGGATGCAGGCTGGGATGCAGGCTGGGATGCAGGATGGGATGGAAGCTGGGGTGCAGGATAGGATGCAGGATGGGATACAGGCTGGGATGCAGGATAGGATGCAGGATGGGATGCAGGATAGGATGCAGGATGGGGTGCAGGCTGGGTGCAGGATGGGATGCAGGCTGGGGCCGGCTGCCGCCTCCCGGGACATGAGGACACCGTGATTCCCACGCGGCCGGGAAATCTCCGGCCCCGGGCCGGGCTCAGGCTCCGCCTTGCGCTGCTGGCTCCGGGCGCTGCCGGCTGCGCTGCCTGTCGGGGCAGGGCCATCCCTCCCCTGCCGCAGAGCCACAGCGCTGCTCCCGCTCACAGGCACACACAACACCGTGGGAACCCCTGCGGACACAGCGGGGTCGGTGACGAGGGGGCCTCGGGGTGCCTCGGGGGGCTTTGGAGCCTGACTGGGGGATGCTGGTTTAGGGGTCGTGACTGGCAAAGCTCTGAGCAGGATTTGTGCACTCCTGTACCCTGTGGGGTCCCACAAATCAAAACAACATCAGGTTAAGAGGCTGGAAGTCCTGTTTAGGGACATTTTTGGTACAGGGAATTGAGGTCCCCAGCATTCCCCAACAGCCCAAGGACATCCCAGGGTGAGACAATGTCCAGCAGCACGGATGTGTCACCATGCCAGGTTCAGTGCCCTGCTGAGGGGTCCCTGCTGCAGCAGCAGCTCTCCAGTCCCTTTTTAAAACTGGGACCCGGCCACATCCATCTGTCCCCGTGTCACTGTCGCTCGGGCAGAACTCCCTGTGGCACGGACCCTTCGGGCACAGCCTCACCCATCCCCTGTCCTGCAGGAGAGGCCTGGGGTCCCCACCAGTGCACAAGGTCCTGCATGTGTCAGCCGAATGAAGGGTGGTGGGGCCCCAGGCAGGGATGTCACCTTCTGTGTCCCTTGCTGTGCCAAGGGGAAGTGGCTGTGCCAGCCCAGCTCCTGTGGTGCCTCTGTCCTGCCCCGGCACGGGGAGAGCCAGCACCAGCACCGGCCTCCCCAGGGCCACTGTCCTGTCCCCGGGCTGCACAGCGGTGACCTCATTTGCCCGCAGGGATCCCGTTCTCCCCAGCACCTGTCGAGCCGAGGGCCATCTCCATCTCCATCCGACTCCTGGGAAGCTGCGATTCCCTGGGCTGTCCCCCCGGGGCTGTGTCCAGCTGCACCACTGCAGAGAGAAGGCTCCTGTCACCCGTGGGAGCTGGGACATGGGGTGTCTTGAGGGGACTGGGGCAGACACCATCCCCACCCCATCCCACGTGCAAGATGGCAAAGGGTCCCTCGGGCCACCCCAGACAGAGGGAGGATGTTAGAAAGTCCCTGTCATACAGAGAGACACAGAGGGATACAGAGATGAAACCTATGGTGCAGCCCATAGGGGGACACGGGAACATCAACCTGCAGATCCACCCCGCTCCGTGGGACCTTTGTGATTCCCCAAAGCACTCAGGAACGGGAACCTGTGGCCAGGGACCTCATGCAGGGCTGGCTCTGCTCCCTGAGCCGGGGTGGCTCCGGTACCTGCTCTGCAGCTGTGCCGGGCTCGCACCTCCTGCATCGCCTGCTGGTTCTTGAAGCGCACCAGCCCCATGGTGATCTCGGCGTTCCAGCCTGGGTCCTCCTGGGCACAGCGAAAGTCGATCTCCAGGCTGTCGTCCATCACCACCGTGAAGTAAATGTGCCGCTCCTTCCACTCCACGCACTCCACGGCCTTCATGCGGGCGAAGCTCAGCTCCTTGCGCCGCGAGCCCTTGGGCTCGAAGAGCTGCAGCCCCTTCTCCGTCAGCAGGCACCGCTTCTTCTTCCAGAGCTGCAGCAGCCCCCCGCTCCGCTTCTCCAGCACCCCCTCCCTCAGCACCTTCTCGGGGGTCATCGCTGCTCCCCGCCCCCCCG